TTTCATAATTTATTTGATTTTTTCTATTATCTGGCATGATATATGTTTGATTTTCTATGCTAACATATTATTTTCTTAACAAATAAATGATTTTTCATAATGTGAGATAGGTAAACGAGAAAATTAAATGATAAGATAAAATAATTAACTTTTGAAATATTACGATGTTAATTTAATACTGTTTTTCTTCTTAAGCATATGGAACTCACTCTTTTCATATTCTCCCTCCAGATAAGGAAAAAAATGAGGAACCGCAGGCAGACCTAGCCTTGAAAGTTTATGAGAATTCCATAGATCCACAAGTTTAAGTGCATGACTCTTCTCGCACTCTGATGAATTCATTAGCATAATTAAAGAAGTGGCCCTTATGTTGTATTTTGTAGTCACTTCTGTCCTCAATTTATGTATGTATTTAGAACTTATATATATTTGTAAAGGATTTGTTATGATTTGACTCCGTTGCATAAATTTTATCATGCACTCATTATTTTGAATCTGTATCTGACACTCATTTGTCTTAATTAGCACTTAGGATGTTGCACCCACGCCGGTGTACAAAAATTTTCCCTAGTCTCTCCGCAGGATTTCTCCGTCGTTTTTTTTCTTCTATTGTTTTTTAAATTGAAATTCTCGTGATAAAATAAATAGAATAATGATCTTAAATTAAATAAATAAATAAAAATTCTAAAATTATATGAAAATTAAAAATATAATTTAAATAGTGAACAGCCTCAAGCACGAATAAATGGAAGTTTTGCACAACAATTTAGTACAAAGTTTTCAGGATGTTACACCTTGAGTTAGGCATTAAGAGATCCAAATATACATTTAATTTAACAAATGTGACTTTTATGCACATTATCAATTTTTTTTACAATTATGTGCAGAATCTTACACTCAATGTTGATTGTCATTACTGAAATATAAGTCATGATATTTAGTTGATAGGTTGCTTTGTGGAATGGCCATTTATATGTACTCATTGAGAGTTATCATCTTTATCATATTATTTTGAATTGGATTTGCTAATAGAAGATTTTATTTCTTTTTGCAATGGTTTCATAAAGATTGATGTTTCTTGAACTACTAAGGATTATAATCTAGTAATTCATATTTTGGTTCATAGAGTTCTTCAAAATCCTATTAGAAACTACATTGTACAAGAACTTCCCTATTTTTTAGTTCCTTTATTGGGAGAGAATGCTTTCTCTCTTCTTTTGTCCATAACGATATTTTTTTTTTAAGTTTTTCTATCAAAAGAAAAAAAGAAGAATTAGAAAAAAAAAAAGAATAGCACCTATTATCACTAGTATAAACATCATCTTTTTAAACACTGCTATAGTTTGCATTATTTAAAATTTTTAGAACTTAATTTAAATTGTATAGGGTATTTTAGTGAATAGATGTAAATATTAATCTTAGTTCTTTATATTTTACTTGAAAATATTTAAAAAAGTAATAATGTTAATTAATAACGAATAAATAAAATAACACTAATTTTATTTACAAATATTAAATTAATAAAGAATAAAACTAAGGAGAAATTATCAATAAAAGAAATAGGATTTATAAGCCTCTAATGTACTTTCAATTGAAAATTCAGAACGTGTGTCCTATATAAAAGGAGAAAAAAAAAAAAGTCAAAATTGATATTTACTTAAACATTGTATTATTGAATAAGAACAAAACTAAAAAGGTGGAAGCACCAAACAATTTTGAAGTGTCAAAACTTTGAACAAGAGAATTGAGAGTAGTGATTTAAAGAGAATGTAATAATAATTTGATTAATTAGCAATTAACAGAGAAAAAAAAAACAAAAACAAAAACGAAAACAAAAAAACTAATTACGGGAATTATGAGGGGTGGGATTAGCATGAAAGGGTCTCCAAGCAGAAGCAGTAAGCAAACAAAGATCCTTCCAGCCAAGTTTCAGGGTTCCATTGTCTTCCACCAAAGTGTACCCGTCGGAAGGGAACATGCCCAACAGTAGGGTAGCCTGCGTGGCTGCATTCCCTGCAAGTGATATTCCCTTGAACCCACACTGCTGCAACTTCTCTCTCCAGTTATGAAATTTCATTTCTCCACTCCTCGACGGTCCCCCCACCGCCAGCACGTTCCTTATCTCTCTAGACAGCAGCTGCTGCTCCACCACGTGCCTCTCCTCGCTTTCTTCTCCGTAGCTTGCACCCAGGGAGTCGAACAGCGCTGAGTAGTAGTGTATGGCTTCCACGAACCTCCCCAGGAATGGTCCCGCATGGCTCAGGTCTTGTTCTACTACTGTCACAACTTTCGGCGCTAATCTACATATATATGTATATATATAAACATGCATCAATACAATTAACGTACGATTAGTGATTTGGGTTTATCAAAAGAAAGAAATACGTATAATAGGGTGGAAAAATATTAAACATTTTCTGCATAAATACAAGAGAAGTTTAGTTACGTACCTCTGCAATAACCAGAGGGTATTGGTATCAGAACCCGTGACATCGTAAAGCGAATGCTGGAGCCAGTGAACGGCAACAGCCTCCGTCTTGCTGATGTTGAGTCTGTCAGGGTCTAAGTTGCCTACTTTTTCAGCCACGGGACAGAACTCGAAGGGAAGGCCTAGTTTGTGAGCGAAATCCGAGAGGCGTTTTCCGGTGGCCTCCAGAGCTTCCATGGAGGTTCCCAGCCCTGTGAGTCGGACGTAGGGAGGTCCTCCAGGCCTGGAAGCTAGGATGTGAAAGAGGCCTGGCCATTGAAGGCCTTGCATGATATCTAAATCAATGATGTGAACCCTCTCCTCCCTCTCGAACGCCTCCTGTATGGCCTGGTTGGCCGTAAAATGCGAGAACTTGACGAAGGGACTGATTCCATTGAACACCTGGAAGGCGGACACCATCTTGTGGGCATGGGTCTGAGGCATGGATATGGATGGTAGCGCCGCGTATATTCCTAGACAGGAGCTCACAAGTCTAGCCGACATTGCTTCCGAAAAGTATGCCGCCACCCGTTGGGCCGACGTCCCATACGGTGTGGAGAGTTCGGAGATCTCAAGCAGCATCCTGTTTGCTTCCTCCAAGTTTTCGGCCGAGACGGCTTCCGCGCACTGCAACAGCAAGGTTAAAAGGTGTAGCCCTTCTTCGTCTCGCTTCTGTTGGCGCAGCTCTTCTTTTTTGTCTATTTTAACAGTTGCTGTTGTAGCAGATGTGGGCTTCGATGTTGTCGGTGGCGTGCTGCTGACTGTTTCTGCGGGTGAAGAATTTTCTTGTTCCGGTTCTTGTTCCTGAGGCTGAACCTGAGCCTGTCTTCGTGTCTGAGGCTGGATTTCTACAGGCACAGGCTGAGGAACTGCCTGATTTAAAGACAAACCTGGCGTATACAAAGCTGAAGAAGCACCGCTTGTAGTAATTATTTGAGGACGAGGGTATTGTTGATTGTTGGCATCAGTTCCAGAATGGATAGGAAATGCCGGGGATAATCCCCAGCTGGAGTACTGATTCAACATAGCAGAAGAATCAGGTAGGGTGAAATTGGGTACGTTGTCGAAAATACCAGAGCTCTGTTGCTGTTGATGGGCGTAGGCCGGCGGCCGATACAGCGAACCCACAGGTGGCTGTAGAGGAAACGTCTCCTTCCTTCTCCTATCCAAAGGATCGATTAGAGAGCGTAGCCTGTACTCAAAGAGGGCAGCCAGGTTGGGGTTGCAAGGGTAGATTATCTCCCTTACGTTCTGGATGAGCTGGGGAATAGAGACGGTGGTGGAGCTGTGCAGAAGGTCTTTTATGATGCTGTCGATCCACGCGGTTGCAGATGCATCTTCCATGGCGGTGGGGACTGAGATCAGAGGCGCAGCGGAGGTGTTGGAGACAACACTGGCTGTAGCCGAACTGTTTGGGTTTTTTTCAGGAGGGAAAAGAGGCAAACCGGAGAAGCCACAAACGGAAGGGATCTGAGGAGAGTCGGAGAGAGAATCTAAGCAAGTAAAGTTGGTTGTATTATTGCAATTAGTAGATAAAGAAGCAGATCCTGACGTCAAGGTGCAAGATGGATTAAAACCCATATTCATGATATTCATAGTGGAGTAGTTGGAGGATGAATTTGGAGTTGGACTTTTCTCGTTGCCGTCGATTGATGACGCCGGCAACAGAAAAGAACTACGGCGAGAAATCCTTTGGTACTCAGGATTATGCACTCCCATCTCAGAAGCCATTCTCTTTCTCACCATCTTGCCGTCGGACGGGGTCGAACAATCTTTACTATTAGAACCACTGCAGGTTATAGAACTTGGATGGTTATTGTTCTGGCCACTACTGCCATTACTGCGGTCGTCGTCTCCGTCATCGTTACCCACCAATCCAAAAGCCGCCATCAACGTTCCGCCTGCACTTACCCAGCTCAAGGAAAACACTGCTGTACCCTTGCACTCTCTCCTTCATCCCCACTTATATATTGTAAATATGCGGAGGAGGGCAGATAACATGGAGAGAAATGAGACAGAAGCTTTGGGATTCTTCTGGCTTTGCTCACGATCTCCTATGCGATTTTTACCCTTTTTTTTTTTCTTATACCCAGAAAAAAAATAATATAAGTAAAGGTTTTGGAAGGTTGTGAGTTGAGTTATGTGTAGAAAAAAAGTAAATAGAGATAGAAATTGAAGATGGTGGTGGTGGTGGTGGGTGGTGGAGGTGGGTGGCAGTTAGCTTTGCGTCTTTGTATGGATGAATTTATTGAAACTGGCATGGAATATTAATGATATGATATGATAGCAATGGAGATGTAAATGAGAGAGAGATAGAGAGAGAGAGAGAGAGAGAGAGAGCAGGTAAGATAATGGGCTGTCAAAAGTAGAAAGCAAAGCAAGCAGCAAAACTCTTTGGTGCAGTAACGTGCTGGAGATGATGGCCTGTAGTTCGTCGTTGCCTATTTGACTTCTTCGTTGCCTCGTTCGGAAAACGAACATTACAATGATCCTCCTCTTAATTACTTTATTATTTATTACTAATCCCTTTCTAATTATTTTTACTTAATTCATTAATTACCCTACCTAAGACCTTTTCATTCTTCTTGAGGTGGGAGTTTTTATTTTTTATTTTGTTTTTCATTTCTGGGAAAATTAATTTCTACTATATATACAATTGAATACAAATATATAAAAAAAAAACACTTTAATATGATTAAACAATATAACTACATTTATAAATAAGATGGAAGAAATAAATTATGAGAACTTTACCTTCAAAAGATTTCTTATTATATACATAAAATATTTTCAAAATCTAGCAATATACATTAGCACACTCATGACCAGAAGAGTAGCCACAAAAAGAATAAGGCCTAAAACGGAAGAGAACGGAGCCTATGGGAAACCAAACATATGGAGGAGGGAAATCAGAAAGGGTTGTTGAAAAAGCCGATGCGTAATTTAGGCACATCCTGAGAGAGAGAGATATACACATATATATATATATATATATGTATGTATTTGACTCTCGGATGTAACTTTTCCCATTTTAACTTGCACATGGCTACACGTTCTAAATTGGTTATGCAATAAAATCAAGTCTAGACATACATATATGTATGTATATATATCTCCCTAATCTCGATATATCGCTGCCTTTTCTTCTTTTCCTATATGTATATTATACAGTACGTATGTGAATTAGCATAATGTTTAATTAACAGCGGCTGCGCAGCTGTCCCAAAAATTGGTATAGCCAACATTTCCAAAGTTACTAGGGAATTTATAATTTAATAAATTTAGGAAGATTACTACTGATAAAAATCAAACTAGTCTTTATTAATAATTAAACTAATCTTTATTAATATAATTAAAAGTTATTATGGGAAGAAATAATAATAATAATAATAATAAAAAGATGAGAGGTTAAGGTTAAGGGGGAAGAAGACAGAAGAGAAAAGGGCAGCAGTGTTACGGTCGAGGAGGAACTGTCAAACCTCAGTTCCCAAAAAATGCAACGTAGTGTTTGACATTTTGCTTTATGCTGCATCATCATCCATCAACTTTTTTTCCTATAATTTCATTTGTTTTAGTTTTTAATAATTGTTTTATTACAAAAAGTAAGAATCCTGTTTCCTCTCTTTACTTTTAAAACCATTATTTCTTTTTATTTTAATTCACTTTTCTTATCTTTTCATAAACAATAAACTAATCAATTCTATCTTTTTTTTTTTTTAATTAACTAGCAAGAATATTAAATTTAGAAAATAATAATACTAAACAATTAAAAAAAATTAACATGGGTTTATGGCTTTGAGGGGATTTAAAGCATAATTGTGAATGGAACTCCCATATTATTTTTTATCACTTCTCTTTCTTCTTTTTGTTTGCATTATCACAAAACTCTTAAATGATACATTTTCCTTCTTCTATTTAAATATTTATATTTTTTAATTATACAATAAATAACTAAATGTTATTAAAATAAACATTATTTTAAAATAATATATTAATTTTTATGTAAAAATTTGATATATTTTATTAGTTATGAATATTTATACATTCAGAATAATACAATTAATACAATCCAAACCCAAATTATGTTAAAGATGAATGAATGTAATAATTTAATTAATAAATCAATAACTAATATTTTAGTATTCTTATTTGATCATAATGGGTTTTATTCATTTTGAGATATGAGATTAATGCACTTTTCTTAAGAAGAAGATTAAAAAAAGTTACGTTTGACTCTAGTGTGTATGTATGTGTGTGTATATGTGTATATATATATATAGAGAGAGAGAGAGAGAGAGAGAGAGAGAGAGAGAGATGAGGTTGGGGGAATTTAGAGGAGAAAAAAAAAGAAGAAAAATTTTGAGAGGGAGAGTAGAGCAAGATACGAAGAAAAGGCAAGCGAAGAAGAGATGAAGAGTAAAACAAAAAGAAAGATAAAGGAAGACACAGTTAACGAGGGGGAAATTATAGAGAGAGCACAGTAAGGGTTTTGGCGTGAAAAAGTTGAACGTCTTTTAGAGGGAAAGGAAAGTCTTCTTCCCTGACAGCACCAACACGTGAGAGGGCACGAAGCTCCATGCAGGCAGCAAATATCAGATCTCAGCCGCATCAGTCTTTTTCAAACATCTCTCTCATGTCGCTCCTCTTTTCCTCTCTCTCTCTCTCTCTCTCTCTCTCTCTCTCTCTCTCTCTCTCTCCTCTTTTTCATGGATAGGCTTCTTACCATATCTCTCTTTTTATAGATATATATATATATATACATATATATTTCCTTTAACACCCAATGACAGAAAAATATAATATATATATATATATACGTAAAGCATCAATAATATTTTTTACGAGGTTGTGATTTTTTTTCTGTTGATGTAAGGGTAAAAACACAAGAAGGTAATTTGACTCAGTATCACCCACCAAAAAAACAAAATTGATATTGGAAACTTGCCATGACCACCTCCACGTTCAACCTTGGAAGAAATTCATCATTTTATTAATAAAGAGTATTATAGTCACTCCAAACAAACAAAGGAGAGCAAATCAACACTTCATAAGGAATTTGTGAGAAAGAAATATCATGACCATATTTAGGAACTTCATAAGGAATTATATGGCCTAAAATAGGCATGGTTCACCCACTTTAACAACTTTTTGGTTTAGTGTTTCTTTTATTTCTCTAGGGTAAATAGTTTTGTGTTCACATATCACACTATTGAGTTTCATGACTTTGTGATTATTTATTTAGATGACATTATAATTGTAAATCTATACGTGTCCTCAGGTAAATACAATAAAAATTTAAAATTATTCGTAGTTTAATAGATTATCAGATTATCACATGAGCTTTGATCATATCAAACTCTTAATAGATTTTAATTTCTAATTAAAATATAAACATGTCAAACTAGTCTTTGATCATGCTTTCTATGTGTACATTATACCTAAATGAAAGCAAGTTTGACCTAAGTTATATACCTTGTTGATACTTGGTTGAGACCTAGGAGATAAAATCCCTTGGAGACAAGTTCATCCATTATTTTTTCTTCCTCTTAGCTCATGACTTATGGTAACTTTTGGAAGAGAATTTCTTTCTCTTTTATTTACTCTCTTGACCAAAAGCATCACTCACATAAAATTACAACTTTTTTCTCTTACATAAAAAAAAAAATCTAATTAATGTGAGCACGGATGACTTGAACTATTTAAGCAACCAACCAAGTTAAGAAAGGAAGCAGCCCCTAACGAAGTTAAAAACCCATGGAAAATCTTGTCCACTCATGAGAGACTTTTTTCCAATAAAGAGATATTTTTCTCTCAAGAAGAAAAGTTTTCTTTTCCTCTCCATATCTTTCTCAAATGGCAAAAAAAAAAAAACCGAGATTAAGAAATTTTGAATATTCATCAAGGAAGAATCAAAATCATATAGTTCTAAGTTTCCAAACTAGTATCATATCTTCCTAAAATAATATATTCACATATAGGAAAAATTAAGAGAGATCATGAAAGGATTTTAAACATTTATCACAAAATCATTGATGGATTTACTTTGCTAAGGACTCCAAACATCTTCATTAAATTAAGAGATTTTCTTTAAATTATAAGATCTTCCTAAATCAATCAATCTTTCAAGAAAAAAAAAACTAAATCTCCAACCTTTAAAAGAAGATATCTTTACAATTAATTAAGATATTATCCATTTAAAAGGTTTCCTCATTGGAAGATTATATTTATCTTATTTTAGAAAGCAATCTTTTTCATTGTTGGAAGTTTCCTATTTTATTCTAGATTTATTTTTCTATGTAATTTTACAATTAATTTATGATATTATTTTTCTTATTATACAAATGACCTACACTATAAATAGGTCATAAATTCACAGTTATATTCATTTAAGTTTGAGAATAATAAAATTATAAAATTTTTATTTTTAATGTATGAGGTTTTGTCAACCTTCTTGTTAAGTGGGAATTGATTCAACTTACCAAGATAAGTCCTTGTTGCGTTTTATCAATTCATCTTGAATTGATTTCACTTACTAAGATTTCATCTTGTGACATTTAAATCAATTCAAATCATGATCACAATTACCTTGATTTTCACTCCCTCATTGAGTGTGAATTAAGTAAGGATTAATATTCAACTTAAGGGGAAATGATTGAGAGAGTGAGTAAAAAACAAGAGTGAAACACCAAGGGAGTGTTATTTTCTAACTTTTCTTATAGGTTTCTCATAATATCTTTACCTAGTGAATTAACCGATATGAAGATCTATATGGAAAAGTTCTAAAGAAGGCTTAGAGAGCTTAATTAGGCAGAAATAAGACAAAGATCTTATACTTCATCAAGAGCTAAAAGTCAAATCCAAGAGGAGGAGGCCAATTTA